ATAAAAATGCATATAAAAAGTAAATGAATAATTCCTATTGCCTTAAAAAGCTAACAGAATCTACAGTAACTTATCTCTATTATCATAAATATTTTTATGATGTTATATTAATCTTATTTTTGTGGCGGTATTTGTCTTAAGAAATAAATATTTAATGCATTTCTATGTAAGACTGAGGACTGAAAGCGTGTTTAATGTAATGATAACTCTATTGTGTTTGTGAAGTGAAAACGCTATTAAGAAAATGAAAAATTATTTCAATTATCAAGAGATACGAGAAAGCGCTCACAAAAAGTTAAACCATTTTCTCAGCTAAAGAATAACAGGAACACTAAAAATCAATAAAATCTTTATTGTCTTCAAAGTGTCTCAAATTATTTAACCATTAGCCAGTTAACTTTAATGGTTTACTAAAGTTAACTTTAAGAGTTTTTAAAACCAAGTATTAAATAGACTTTTATTTTCTCTAAATTGTGAATAACTTAAACTAAAAATTAATAAATTAATATTAATTTTAAAAATATGATTTATGTTACGTGTTATAACCAATTAGGTGATCATGACATACCTGTTGTTGTTGTTGCTGTTGCTGTTGTGGTCTCTGTTGCTGTTGTGGTGCCTTAGACGGATCGGGTGGACCGGGCGGTGCTCCGGTGGCAGACGGAGGTCTGGCCTGAGGTCTGCCCTCCTCGAGCTGTTGGGCACTTTGCGTGTTTCTTCGGGAACCACTACTTTGTGCGGCTCTGAGAGCACTATTCAAAGAGACACATCATTACAACCATTCACTCAGTCATGACACCAATGGGTTGCATACTTTTGCATTTCTTGGATTTGCTTATTTAAGGCAAACTTCTCTTCCTCGGAGTTCGACATAATCTTCAGGAGTCTCTCTAATTCCGATTGAATACTATTCGACTCATCCTTACTCTTCTGCATCTCTTTCAGGATCTGTTGTTTGTCTTTCTCCAAAGCGTCGCACTTTTTGCGCAAATCCGTGACAATGGCATCGCTGGTGGTCGCCGCCGCACCGGAAGCCTGTTTCAGGGCGTTCTGCAGCTGTACCTCCATTTGGTCGATGTCTGTCTGACGCTTCTTAAGCAACCTCTCCGTCTCGTCCAAAGACTTTGCCTTATCGTCCAACTGTTTGCGAAGCGCCTGGAGTTCAGTGTTTTGTTGAGCCGTTTGCTGCTGAAGTCCTTTCGCTAATTGCTGTTTAGACGACTGCAAGTCGTGCTGTAGTTTCACACAAAAAATAATTCATTAATTCATTGTCACATAAATTGTGAGAAAATATTGTGCAAAAAACTCAGATAAGGAATCAAATGAGGAAAACATAACAGAATATTCTGTGAAATTCGGCACAATTACTACGAAACCCATTGGAAAGGGAGTATTGATTGGAAATAATTGTTTAAATAAATAAAGTGCTATCAAATCAGACACTAATTAATAGAAGCGAAACACAAATACAAATAAATGTCACGAAATTAACATAAAATTGTCGAAACAAATAGTGAATGGGAATCGTGTTCAACAAAATGCTCATCAAATTTGTAAAATAAAACAACAAATTAAATAAGAAAACACATCCAGAATCTAAATGAACCTGTGGTTCAACATTACAAATGTATACAAAATCTATAAGAATAAGGATTTTCTATAAGATATAAAAAGGAAACCAATTAATTTTGATTGGTGCATAAAATCAATGTAAATAAAAATAAAAACCAATTTTTGAATAAACGAATCAAATTATAACCAAAAATCGTAATCAAAACCAAATAAAACAATCGATAAATAATGGATTCAAAGGACTGAATGCAGTCATAGACTGCGGGATGGGATGATATGTCACCTCCTTTTGTGCCAATTCGTTGACAATCTTCTCCAACTGAGTCTGGAAGCGATCCCTTTCAATGGCACAGGTCTTGATGTCCTGCTGGGCCTTCTCGAGCTGTTTGCGCAACTGTTCCGACTCTTGCATCCACTTCTGGGTCTCCGAGCGCTGTCTCTCCAACTCAGCCCGCAGTCTATTGACCTCTTCAACAATTTTTGCGCTGTCGGGGCCGGACTTGGCGGCCATCTGTTGCTGGAGTTGTTGCTGCTGTTGCTGCTGGACCTGGACCTGACCCTTGAGCGCCTGGTTCTCTGCG